TGGATGATTTCTATATATGCTTTTATAGGTTTAGTTAATAATTGAAATTATTTTTGGATGTTTAACTTGGGAACATTTTTGAAATCATAAGGTTCTGGCCACTGCTCAAGTAAGCAGATGACTGAATTTAACCAACTTTCTATCGTTTTCAAATCTGTGACCCCTTATTATGTTTTGATTTTAGTGATATTCCTACTGCGAGTCCACCTGCAGTGCTGTGTGATTGCCTTTATTATATAACAGCCAGTCTTCAGACATTGTGGGTTGAAAACATTGTATGTGATCTGGTAGCCTTTGTAAGTTAATGGGTATAGATGGCTTCCCTGCCTAATAGATGGCCCCACAGGTCTAGACAGTAGAGATATTTCTGAAAAACCAGAGCATAATTTGATCAGGTCTTGATGCTGTAATTTGATCAGTGTCTTCCCCAACATACTCTGGGTTTGATTAACAGCAACTCATATTTCATTCTTCTCCTCATAAATTGATCCTCTTTGAATAGCGACTTAACATGAAAGGGGAAGCAATATACAGGTGTAGCCTAACATATATGAATACATGTCCATGCACACATGCATACATGTGCACATACATATATGTGTATACACACATATGCATATGTATATGGGGGTAGAAAGATAAACCAAATTTTTCAACTGAAAGGTATGATGCCGTGCTGAGCTCACTGGAGTTAAAACCGGAACTAAGACACTCAAAATTGTTAATCTCTTAAGAAGGGACTTAATTTTTTACAATCTCAGTAAAACATCCAAGTAATTGCATAGTTCCTTCATGTAGAGCCAATACCTAAACAGCAGGGTGCATTATAGCATGAGTAACTGGCGTGGAAGAATGTACCGTGTTGCCTCTCATCAGGGGTGGCAATCATAGCCAAGGGTCCTGACCATTGGGTTCATTAGTCCTTATTGATCTCATCCTTTGTTTTGGAAAGGGTTTCCCCACCCCTCCTCTAACTCATCCCAAACCGAGAGGCACCCAGGCCTGGTGGCCCAGCTTCCCCCAAGAAGCCGATGACAGCTCTTCAAACAGGGTTAGATTTAGATTCCTCTGTGGGCACTGGGAAGATGGTAGGTCTGCGTTTCCTTAGCTTGATTGGAGTCTGTGCAGCTCCAGGAACTACAAATGGGAAAATTAGCTAAAAGCCATGAATTCAACAGATAGTTTAGAATAGAAAGAGTGCATAGTGTGTGTTTGGTTTTGAGTGAGGTGCTGAAGATGCAGGTGTAGATAGAAATGAATTTTGATCTCTAGACAGAATGAAGTTTGTGTTATGGTGGGAGTTCGATGGGAATAGATAAAAAGAATGCAGTTTTTCATATGGCTTCAAAGACATGGTTAGGGACAGGTTTGCTAGGCAGACATGGGTATTTGAAGCAGATATGTTGCCTGCACTCAGCATGGAGATGTGCCAGAGGTCACATAAGGGGGGCTGCGGGCAGCGCTTCATGCATGTGTGAGAAAGAAGACATGAAACAGAAGCGACTCCGGTGGTAAAGGAACACGAGACAACTGAGATTCAAAGACACGAGTTAAGGATTGGAACCGAGTGTCCTGCCAGTGAGTGGAAAAAATCACCTCCCAGGATAGCCTAATGAAAGGCACAATTCTACAGATGAAAAAAATTATCCGAAAAACTTCTAGAAACAAGTGTAGAAATCGCAGTAGCGTCCGCCTGCTCCATAGCTGCATTCGAAATGAGAAGTGGGGCTCAGCGGCTAAGAGCATTTGTTGTGAGGATGTGGGTTCAATTCCCAGCTCCTCGTGGAAGCTAACAACTGTCTGTAACTAATTCCAGAGGATCTGATGCTTTTTCTCTGAACACTGCAGGCACCAGGCATGGACATGGTGCGCATACATACACGCAAGCCAAGCACTCACACACATACAATACAAAAATAAATATTTGAGGGGAAAAAGGAAATCAGATGAGAGGGCTGGAGAGATGGCTCATTGGTTCAGAGCACTTGCTGCTCTCGAAGAGGACCCAGGTTCAGCTTCCGGCACCTACGACAGTGTTTTTGTGGGAGATCTGATGACCCCTTCAGTTTCTTTACAGCCCAGACACACGTGCGGGCAAAACATTCGCACTCATAAAATGAGCGGATTAGCTAATTTCAAAAAATGAGAAGAAAGTGAAATAATACTTTGGCAATTCCACAAAGGGTAATATCTCTCCTAGAACAGCAGACAGGTTGCTAGTGGGGACTCAAAAACTGCGATCCTGCCCTCTGCTCAGAGAGCCAGTGTGGCACGAGTTGTCCTGGCGCAGAGGTAACCCAAGAAAGAGACGCTGAAGACGCAGGGCTCTCCCTCAGAGGGTGAAGGAGAAGGAAGGTCTTTGAATGCGCAGGGGATGAAATCCCAGCTACAGTCTGGCCTGGGAAGCAGCCATTCCAGCCAGACTGAGTCGAGATGAGGTGTTTAGAAAGAGAGCTCCATGAGAACCAGGTCTTCCTTTTTCCAGGGATATGTGTGTGTGTGTGTGTGTGTGTGTGTGTGTGTGTGTGTGTGTGTGTGTGTGTGTGTTTACTTTGATGGGAGAATCTGATGAGTAAACAATAGAAGACAAAAACAGGGCAACTAATAACTCCAGAAGAAACACAAAGTTATCCAAGTAAAATACAATTGCTGCATGGCGGTGTTAGGAGCAATATTGACTTTGCAAGCCTACTATAAACCGTGAATATTGACTTAGCTGAATGATGAGGTTGTAAACAGCAGCATGGCACCTGAACGTGAGGTGGAGGATGGTGTGTGAGAACTGAATCCCTCATAAGAATTGTTAGTAAGAAGATCTGAAATGGGGAAAGGTAAGAAGGCACAGTGTTTAAACACATCACTTAGAAATGTGATGAATAAGAGAATGCTCGCGGGAGCCCATAGGAGTCGCTTTCTCAGCAGTGGGAGTTGAGTGGGGAACAGGGAGGCTGTGGGTTGACATTGTCTTACAAGCCTTGTAGCCCAATTTAAATTCTTATACTGGATAAAATTAACTATAGACACAGAGAGCTGCCCTGTGGAGATCTAGCATGTAGTGTTTGACATTTATTGTAAGAGGTTTTTTTTTGCTTTGCACACACTGTCTGAGTTGGTCTGGCACATTCTCCTGTGTTTTCTATAACCTTCTTTCCTGCAGTTAACTGTGAACTGTAGTTAGTCTGTATGGAACATCGCTGAGTTGGACGTAGAAATAGACAGAGTCTGTGCCCCTCACAGCCGCCCTCCCTGTGTTTTTGTGTCGACTCAGTCTTCTAAACATTAGAAGGCTCTAAACAGTAGAGGATAAACAAACCGCTTCGTTTTTCTTTCCTGCCTTCTCCCCAACGTGGCGCAGACTTGGACTTCCCGTAAGAAATCAACATTCTTCACTGAGCTGATGTTCCTAAAATGGGATGCCTAAGCCAGCTGCACACTGAGAGCTCTGCGCTGCCTGTGTACGTCTCTCAGCAAAGCCCCACGCGTAGATGCAGAACTGAACTTATAGCGGTGCATGCTACTTCCTTCTACCTTTTATTTTGGAAGAAAAAAAATCCAGACTTCATAGAAAATTGCCAGGGTGGTCAAATGCCCACCATCTTTCTGATTTGTAGCTCTTAATACGGTCACATTTCTTGTTCTCTCTTACACACTCGTGTCCCCTTCCCTCAGGTACTCTTGGGGCTGGTGTCAGAATTATCTTAAAGTAAGTTGCAAGCATCATAGTTCAGTATGCCTAGATGTTTGTGGGAAATGAATGCAGAGTGACCACACATTACACATCATCATCGCTGTTGTTAAGGTTCTTTTTTAAAATTTTAATTAATTTTTATTTAAATTGAAAACAATCTAATTTTACATACCAATCTCAGTTCCCTCTCCCTCCTGTCCTCTCATTCCCCCCACTAATCCCCCCCCCGCCCACCCCCATCCACTCCACAGGGAGAGTGAGGCCTCCGATAGGGATAGGGATAGGGATTGCCGTTGCATTCTTACATAGATGGCTTCCTTTTTGATTGTTAAGTCTTTTGGGATGGCAGCCACTAGGAGTTTTATAGAGTGTCCTCAGATCCTGGTTCACTTTTTGGCCCCATGGTTATAACATTCTGGTTACAGTTGCAGAAGGGACTGCATATACAGATTCTTTTATCTGCTGCTTGTAGCTTTTTTAACACTTGCTCAGAAGCTTACTCCATCTTTTGTGTGTTTTGTTTTTCCTGATAATTTATGGTTTGGCATAGAGAATTAGGAATGGACACATACCTGGGACAGAGTAAGAACCCTTCAGTCACAGAGGATCTCACTGCAGCAGTCTCTGGGAGGGGTCATCCGTTCCTCTGGAGACAAGCATAATATTTTTTAAACATCTTTGGCAGTATTCTTTGGGTGACTTAATATATTGTAATCAGGGACAACGTCTCTTAGAAAATCAGTTCTGCTGTGGTGTACAGTCTAGTGAGGCGAGTTTGGCAGGGCTCGGCCAGCTTTTCTTTCACTCCTGAGTGAGGTCTTGTTTGGAGTCTAAGCACTGGATGCGTGTTTACTCTGCAGCGTTTTGACTGTGCCGCTGCTAGGGTGCTCCGAGGCTTAGGCTGTGTCTGTTTCCTGTGAAGCAAGGGCAACATGGACGGATGGCATGCCGCGCATGCCAGAAGAGCTATGCAAGCTTACTGTTGAAAGCATGGCTTCTGCGTGTCAGGCCTTGCTGGTAGGAGACCTGGTGACACAGTAGCCTTTAGGCAGAGCTCCTCAGGATGTGTAGGAAGCGCTGTGACAGGTTTTGTTGGGGGGAAATCTGAGCCATTCCCAGGCCTGGACAAGCTGCTGTTGAATTTTGCGCAGGCTGCCAGGGTGAGCGTTTTCATTCCGGTGTGTTTGTCTTGCTCTTCTTCCTTCTGAAGTCATCGTGGTCTTTCTGGAAGTTTCCCAGGGCTTGTTATGGATCTCTACAGCAGGACTCTGATTTATTTGTGATTCAGCGGTTCTCTTCTTTCTCTCTACAGATTTTGTGGACGTTTACTACTTTGTCATTATGAGATGTCGTCTCTCGGTACCTCCTTTGTGCAAATTAAGTTTGACGACTTGCAGTTTTTTGAAAACTGCGGTGGAGGAAGTTTTGGGAGTGTTTATCGAGCCAAATGGATATCACAGGACAAGGAGGTGGCTGTAAAGAAGTTACTCAAAATAGAGAAAGAGGTAAGTAAGACCTTCTGCTACCAGAGGCGGACGCAGCAGCTCTTATATAAGCCTTTCTTCAGCCTGGAGTTAGAGGGCCACAGAGCTGGAAGGGATCTGGCTGGTCCTTTGGGGCTGGTCCATGAGGCTCTTTCCCAGTTTCCATTCTGGGAACCCCATAAATAGAAAATATTGCAGTGTGTGCTTTAGGGTCAAGTTTTACTAGGGATCATCTGAAGCTAGAGGATTTCTTTCCATGGTATAAAAGAGCCAGTGTTCTCTGTGCTGGCTGTCCTACAGAAACAGGAGGGTTTGAGCGGTTCACTTCTCCAGGACAGCCAAGAGGGGGCAGTATAGAGTAACAGGTAACATTTTCATTTCTTACTATTTTCACCCCTTGCGTTGGGGGTGGTCCCTAGTTGTTGCCTTAAAAAAAAGTAAGAGTATTATTTTTCTACTGAATTAAGCAATACAGGCTTCTTAGGTTTCACCTCTACTCGCTCACGGTGGTGTGTTTTGTGAAATAAACAAGTAGGTGCTTGATGGAGTTGCCTTTCCTTGTAAAATTAGAATAAGGCCTTGTCTTTTATAGTCTTGAACTTGTGTTGGACGTAGATGAGCCCTGAACTCTTAGAGTCTTCATCTTTCTTAGGAATATGACACATGCGTCCACCTGCATGCACATGCACGCATACTCACACACACACACACACACACACACACACACACACACACACACACACACACACCGCGACTACATTCAGTTTGGTACCTCAAGAATTAAATAATTTGTATAGCTGATTCATAGGAGTTAACCTTGGTAACTTTCTCTTTAAAGTACATTTTAGAAATTTAAATGTCCTTTAACTGACCCTAGGAACACACAAAAACAATGAATATCTGTGAGCTGTGTTAATGTGTCAGCACGTGTATGCATTGCATAATAAGCCATTATGTCCATTGTCTTGGTGTAAACAGTCAAATGTCTGTGTATTACCATTATCTGTAGTTGTCCTACTGGTAGCTTTTAAGACTTGCCCTTTGGTGTTTATTTTGGCCATTATTTTTTTATGTGTATGTGTGTATGTCCAGTTTCACTAAGTATTGTTTCTTTCCCATAAATATTCTTTCTTCCCCCAAAGTGATCTTATTGTTATCCTTGACTGCCAGCAGTGAACTATCGTGACTGATTAGAGATCCAGTGTTGGCTTTGCAGGTGTGTCCCCCTCCCCCAAGCAGTATTCTGCGGCTGGAGCTCAGCCAGCTCTCACATGGTTGAAACCAGGGCAGTGGCACTGAGGTGTCTCTGTCACAGACTGTAGGTTTTACAGTGAAGCAGAAGGGTGCTAAGGTCAGTTCTTTTTTTTTTTTTTTGTTTTTGTTTTGTTTTACGAGACAAGGTTTCTCTGTATTGTTTTGGAGGCTGTTGGTCCAGCCTGGCCTCGAACTCACAGAGATCCACCTGCCTCTGCCTCCCGAGTGCTGGGATTAAAGGCGTGCGCCACCACCGCCTGGCTCTAAGGTCAGTTCTTGCATTAGAACCATTCCTGATACTGGACTCTTTGAGCTAGTAAGTTTGTGTTATTGTCCCCATTTTATAGGTCGGGAAGTACAGCATTGAGAAATGTAGTAGCCACTCTGGTAGGAACAGGTAGAATTCAGAAGGTCAGGCTTCATGTTCTTCAGGATTTTACTCTGAGACTTGTGGTTGACCAGGTAAGAATAGAAAACAAGCCAGTCCTATCCACTTACATAAGAATGTTAAATGGCAGGTTGTGGGACTTTGATACACAATGAGCTTCTTGTGTGGTTGTTGGATGAGACAGGGAGCTGATTTTGAAAGGAAGCATGAGTTGTAGCTCATTCACTCTCTACCTCTCCAGCATATGCGCATACATTGTCCCAGTTTTACAGTTTGAGAGGCCAAGAAGATGACACAGGAAAGCACAGGATGAAAACAAGAGTTGGAAGCTGCCAAATCCTGCTCTTCTCTTGCGAGAGTATAAGGCATAACCTTGTGAGTAGAAGAAAGGGGAAACTGCACTTCCGCTCCGGGGCCGGTTCTCGTCAGAGGCGGTCATTATTCATCTCCTTGCAGGGCAACCCCACTGCTAAATCCCCAGAGTGATGTGGAAGTCTGGTGGGGCCCTGCGGTTAGAGAGAAGTGTGCATCCCCATGGACTTGGGCTAGAGAGAAGTGTGTATCCCCGTGGACTTGGGTTAGAGACAAGTGTGCATCCCCGTGGACTTGGGTTAGAGACAAGTGTGCATCCCCATGGACTTGGGTTAGAGACAAGTGTGCATCCCCGTGGACTTGGGTTAGAGACAAGTGTGCATCCCCGTGGACTTGGGTTAGAGAGAAGTGTGCATCCCCGTAGACTTGGGCTAGAGAGAAATGTGCATCCCCGTAGACTTGGGCTAGAGAGAAATGTGCATCCCCGTGGACTTGGGTTTTATGGATGTGTGTTGGCTACTGGCTAGGCACTTTTTATGTGATAAGATAAAGGTAATGGACTCTAGACCACCCCCTCCTATACCCTCAATCCTATGCTTCTTGGTCACTTAATAAATCACCTATAACTCACTTCACAGGACTCTGAGGATTACCTGACATTCGACAAATATAACTTTTATGAACTTAGTCAATTTTTCTTTTTCTTTTTTGGTTTTTCAAGTCAAGCTCTGGCTGTCCTGGAACTCTCTTTGTAGACTGGCCTCAAACTCACAGAGATCTACCTGCCTCTGCCTCCCAAGTGCTGGGATGAAATACTTGCACCACTACCGCCCAGTAATATATTTATTTATTTTATGTGCATTGGTGTTTTGCTGCTATGTAGGTGCTGGGAATTGAACCTGGGTCCTCTGGAAGAACAGCTAGTGCTTTTAACCACTGAGCCATCTCTCCAGCTCCAGCCAAGTTCTTAAGCTCCACTTATGTGACGATTTGCTTGCACTTCATTTGTGGCCTCTAGTGTAGTAAGATATGGTACTTCCCTCTATTTTAGAAGGTGCATGTTACCTTTCTACTGAAAAGAACAAATATAGCACTTACCTAAAATGTTTTTTAAAATTATTTAAGGCAAACACCACGAACAGTTACAAGACTGCCGTGACCTCTATAAAAGCACTTAGTCTACCACTTAGTGGTGTTTTGCAGCATCTGCCTCTTCTCTTTATTTATGCTAATGATCTATATGCAGTTATAATTATTTTATTTTTGTTGACTGTGAGAATAAACTACAGATGCTATATGAGTTCATTCAGAGTACTTTAGCATCTCCTAAAAATTCAGTGAACAAGGTCAGGAAATTGAGAGATCATATTACTTTATTGGATAGTTCACCTTCAGATTTTGCCATTTGTCCCAAGAGACTTTTATGGGAAGGTTTTCCAACCCAGGATGCACTCCAGGATGACAGATGGCATCTAGCTGATGTGTCTGTTTAGTCTGTTTTATTTGGGAACAGTTTCCTTGCCTTTTAAGACTTGGTCAGTTTTGGAAAGCAGAGAACACTCGTTCTGCAGAATACCCCTTGTTTTGGACTTACCGATTTCCCCTTCATTTGGTTTATGTGGTTGTGGTGGGACTGTTGTAGGGGTTGTGTGCCCTTGGTGGTCCTTGGTGCAGTGTCGTGGGTATTGCTTGTCTTGGTTTTGGTGATGTTACTTTTGAACCCCTGGGCATAAGTTCACTCAATCCCTCTGCAGTGAAGATGCCTGTTTGCCTTTTGTAATTAGCTGTTGGGAACCACTTTGAGGCTATGTAAATTCCTTCCCTCAGCTTTGCATCCCTTAATGGTCCTGTTTTAGGTAGACCATTACCGTGATAGATCATTGGTCCAAGAGCAGAAGTTCCCCTTCCGAGCGTCTCTTCCTTATTCCCCCTCCTGCCCTCCCTTTACACACCAGACAGTTGCTCTATTTATTTATAGATGATTTTATGCTTCAAAGTGACACGATCCACAATCCATTCCAGTTACCCACTTTTGTGTTTAAATTAGGCCCCGCTTGGCAAGTAAAAGGTCCTTCAGGCTGGCTTCTATGTCTTTTGACATTCACTGGTGATTTTTTGGTGATTTCTTCACTGACACAAAAAGGTACCCCAGTTTCTCTTAGTTCCTGTCCTACTGCTGGGGCAACCATTCCTTCGGGAAGTCCTAGTCAGCACTCCTGACTTGGATTCAGCATTTAGGAATCACAGAGTGGAGGAGAAATAGATTTTTTGAAAAAGAGCCTTTGTTTCTTAGTAGAAATGAGAGTGACAGGTTTTATTGTGAGAGTGTTTAAGTGTAGGCTCAGGCCTCTGTGGAGACAGGCTCTGTGATATGCTCCTTCTGGAGAAGGGTTAGAAACAGGGAGCTTGTGAAAGCCTCGGAACGGTTCCTTCCTGAGTCAGAAGTTGCACTTCCAGGACTTTATTCTAAGTCAGTCAGTGTGTGGAGAACAGGGGTTTATGTCAGGTGGGCGAGGGTGAAGACAACACCGTGCTACCTGTGCAGTGACGTCACAGCCATTCAGAAAATGCTGAGTTTCTTGGAAGTGGGAAAGACAGTTTATAAAACGTGTATGTGCTTGGTGTCTGTGTGCTGCTTTTGTTTCTCTTGAATGTCTGTGGTTTTCTAGGATTTCATATTTTCCTTCAATATTTTATTGTGAAAACTTCCCAACATACAGTGAATTTCACAGTGAGCATCCGTATATACAACATACAGAACAGATAATTAACACAAAGACTTCTTCACATGTATGGCCAACTCTCTACCGTCTCACTCACCGCTCTGTCTGCTGCATTTCACCCCAGCAGCCAGCATTCACATCCTTCCCCTTAAATAAGTCATCGTGTGGATTACCGTTGCAGCTCAGTTGTAGTTACAGGTTTATTTTCTTCTGTGGCAGAAATACATGTCACTAAGTTTTTAGAAATGTGCGTTGACTCTGACATATATTTATGTTTCTAATCAGAAAAACACAATTTAAAAAGTGCAATTTTGACAATCTGCTGCACTATCTCAAGAATTTAA